TGGAATTCAAAATTTTAAATTGTTAGTATTTAATGAATATATTGTTGCCAACTGGGAAAAAGATCCGTCCTATTAGCCGGCTAACTCTATAACAGAATTGCGCCAGCTGAGTAACAATCACAACGTCCTTCTGCAGTGTAGCTGTACAAAGCTCAGGGAACTGGTTAACTGTCAAGGATAACGATACGAAACACAATTCGAAAATATATAAATAATAATTTAAAATAACAAAACTAAAAAAAATTTGAAGCTGAACTTTAAAGATTCTATAACAAAAAGCTATATGTAATTATTTATTTAAGGTATAGCAACAGCTATACATGTAATTAACCGACTAATGTCAAATATGTTACAATACTTTCAGCCAGTTGCACAAACGTCCATTAAAATTTTCATTAGTTTAAAACGACATTACCCATACAATTTTGACATTCATTAGAACTTAAAGGCGTCATTAAACGTTAATGGACGTTTGTGCAACTGACCGCTAATCTATGAAAACTTTAAAGTTTTTGAACTGATTTGCAATACAGATGGAAATAAAAACTCAAATCTGTTTTATTTTCCATCTGGCCACACAAAACTTAATCAAAAACTGAAATCTACGCAAAAATTTTTGAACAAAACGATTACACAGTTTAGTGAAGATTAAACGCCATCTAGTACCACTATCATTAGCCATTTTACTTCCCCACCACAAAGGCTCAGGCCTTCCTTATGGATTGGTTAAGGAACTCCACGTTGGCCCAATGCAGATTGGAGGACATTAACGACTTGCAAATGCAGTCCGAACCAAAGATATAACATGCCTTCCAAATCATGGAGTAGCTCGAGATAATAATTTTTTCGTCACATGTCCCTTGACCGACCTTTGCGAAAGTTGCTTAACAACAACTATTACGGGCTGCGGCTCTTATCCACTATGCCACCGAGCTACTTAATAGTATAAGCTTAAGTTCTTACTAAATTTAATTTGAAAACTCAACCTTGACCAAACCAGTGCAATGTAGATATATACTTAACGCCATCAAGTATAGAACAAAATATATAATTTCTTTTCTTTCGTTAAAGTAAGTTTCGTTAAAGTATTTACAAAAACTTTAATATTAAAAAATATCATTTATTAAAAATATTATTCTTGTTATCAGTTATGTACTTAAATACCAATTTTTATTACGATATAAGAGAATCTTTACAAATAATATTAGTAAGATTTATTAAAATGACAAATAATATTATAAGCAATAGTTGCTTTGGTGATATTTTGATTCCCATAAAACTTTCACTCCCATGTTCATCCCCTTAAAGTGCTAGTTTTTGAGATAACCCTATTACCTTCCTAGGGTCTTGAACTACCCAAATACCAATTTTTATTGATATAGGTCAAAAAACAAAGAAGTTTCAACAAATGGTTTCACCCTTTTTGACCCCCTTCGGGGTGGAATTTCCAAAATTCCATTCTTAGACCTCTACGTAACCTTCTTACACCTCTACGTAATAAGACGAATTTACCCTCCAAACTTCAAGTCACTACGACCAGTAGTTTAGGTTATGCGTTGTCTGTGAGTCAGAAGAACATCTCTTTTTATATGTATGGTATAAATAATTTACTAAGGCGAAATCACAACAAGCAATCAAATATTTACTCTTTATAGTATTAGTTTAAAAGTACACGATACTTTACCATTCCACCTTGATCTTGATCTCTAACCTACTTCTTTTAATATACAGAAAGTAGTTATTGGCCTTACCAATAAGCAATGTATTAGCATTGTATAGATCTTTTCACTCGAACTGATAGACACATTGGAATAACGTAAACAGTTATAAAGGAAAACCTTTTGGTTTATGATTTTTTAATTTTTATATTTATGCGAAACCATTTTTGTATGAGCCAAACGCTCTCGGTCGATGTTTATTTAGTACATGGGTTTTCAAAATCAATTTACCTTCCCAATCGGAACTGCATTACATCACATGAATTTTTATTTTATTTCTATTCAGTCCATCTATACATATATTATAAAGATATTTTTTTTCAACACTTTATTTGTTTGAAGGGTAATCTTCGGAAATGCTAATCTGATCATACAATTATTTCACCTACGGTAAGCTACATCATACGAGGGCTATAATTTAAGCAGGAGAAGTGAGAAGTAAGCGGGAAAACTAATATTGTTCTACATAAAACAAACCAAACTTTGGACTTAAGAAATGCTGACGGTTTAAACTTACGTGCAGATCACTCGCTCATAGAGGTCATCTACAAATATCTTATTTGTGTTAAGGTTGCTGGGTGTAAATGAAAGATTAGTCAACGATAAGTCAACAATTCAATTCAGGGTCATGACCCATCCTCATTAACCATCCATAAGGAAAGCCTGAGCCCCTGCAGTGGGGACGTAAAAGGGCTGGTGATGATGAAGTCAACAATCCATCGTCGTGAAATCCGAATACGTATAAAAATTTGCAAGTATTTACTGAAATTAGTTTTGTTACTAGGCAGATGGTAACGACAAGCTTTTGCATAACGTCGTAATCAGGTAACAAATGCCCCGTCTTGAATGGTCAACCATATTGAATTTAAAATATTAGCGAACCCTTCCATTTGATACCTCCATAAAATTACTAGATCACCATCTTGTGTCGTAAGCCATATTCGATTTAAAATGTAACTTAGCTTACTATGCATTGTTATCTAAACTCAATCAATATGGTTATAATATAACTTAGCTAATGCCTATAAAATGCTCATATTAATTTGAAAGTAGAAATATCAACAAATTTTATTGTGTTTATTATTCTTCGTGGCTGAATAAGAAATGAGGATGTCCGTAGGAAAACTAACGTAACCGATATTGCTCGAGGGATTGCTCAGCTGAAGTGGCAGTGGGTGGGACACATAGCGAGAATTCATCCATCAGGTATGTGATCGCAATTCGAGAAATTACTCGAAAATCCTGGGTAGCTCAGTACTTAGAGCAGTCGCCTGGATTGTGTAAGGTCAGAGTGCTAGGGACAAATTGGACTTATTAAATATTTTTAAGTATAGCACTGTGAATGCAGAATTGATCATATATTGATATTATATCAACGTGTATAATCAATATATATCCATTAATATTATAAGCGAACCCAGATGTATATATACATATTAGTAATACTTTCACGCAAAAACTCCTGAACGGATATTGATATTGATATTTCTACGCCTGAATTAATGTATGTATAAGCTATCCGCTAATACTGATATCTGTAATAAATAGTTTCAACAAAGTCCCTTTCCTCAGTCTATACGCTGAGATCTTTTAAACTTTACAACGGATTTTAATGCGGTTTATTAATAAGTAATATTAATATACAGGGAGACTAAAGAGGAAGGTTTATATGTTATATGAATAATATAAGACCACGCGGTCGAGCCGCTGTCAGAAAACTAGTATAATGTAAAATATGATATTGTTTTAGTTCATTTGTCTCGATTACTTATTAGGCCTATATGGAAATATGATGTATAGGAAATAAAAATAAATCCATTTTTGGTTATTTAAGTCACATTTATTCAACCTAATATGAATAATCTAATTAAATATAACTCAAAGGTGACTGACTGACATAGTGATCTATCAACGCACAGCCCAAACCACTAGACGGATCGGGCTGAAATTTGGTATACAGGTAGATGTTATGACGTAGGCATCCGCTAAGAAAGGATTTTGATCACTTCTACCCCCAAGGGGATAAATTAGGGGATGAAGGTTTATATGAAACTTTGTCAATTTTAAACCAATCGGGCTGAGACTTTGCAGGCATAAAGCTACTATGACGTAGGCATCTCCTAAGAAAAGATTTTGATAAATTACACTGGAATGAAATTTTGTATAAATCTTCTTAGATTTTCGACTGATTGATCTGAAATTAAAGATTGGAGCTACTATGATGAATACGTCCGCTTAAATAGGATTTTAATAAATTCAACTCCCATGCGGATAAAATAAGGGATGATGGAGGATGTAAATGTATTAGGTTGAACCTGTCAGTACCTAATAGAACGAATAAATAAATATTCGTTAGAAATGCTGCTCAAAGTAACTTTACCACGCGGACAAAGTCGCGAGCAAAAGCTAGTTATTTATAATGTGATATATTTTCCATGTATTCTGCTGTCTACACTTTGAAAGAAGCTAAGCGAATCCGTAAATTTCTTAAATTTAAATAATTTCTTATCAGGAAAATTTGTAGATTTGTAGAAGGAATTTCAGTATTCCTCTTTACGGATTATATTTCATAATCGGCTGCTGTACTCTACTAGCAAAATCGATCTGCGAAAATTTTCAGTTAGACCTAATGACTGGTTTACAGAATGGTATTATGTTGATAATTGCTAAACTAAATTTTAAGTAATCACGTGTAAACACATAAAGTCACTCTTACAAAATTATAATGTTAAAAATTTGCGATGATCATTAATTTGAAACTTTCATTTTTTACATTAACCGAAGTATGTAACTTCATTAAAGAAAGAAAAAATAATTTCATCGAAGAATATTCTGAGTTCTATACTAATATTATAAAATTGTAAGACCAGTAAGGTTAGATGTTTGTCAGTCAGCATTAAATAGAATCCAAACTACAGGACTGATTTTAAAAATTCCTTATTCTACTGAAGGAAGCTATACACGGGTGATATAGGTTATAATCTACACGAGCTAAGTCGCGGGAAAACGGCTTTTAACTTTATGGGAAGCCCTTAAACGATAAGGGTTAAAATCTATTTACATAAAAAGTAGCATCACTTATACTCTTGAACATTTATTTTACAAAAAAAAATGTAAAAATTAATCAACCCTGATATTCTAAAGGAAAAATCGGACTAAAAAAGTTATAACCATACCGATTATTGAAAATGTCGTTAAAATTGAAAAATATATAATTGGTTTCTTACAAAAATGACACTATAAATGGATATAGGTTATATTTATATAAAAAAAATCACTTACCGTTCATCGAATAAATCACAGCCGCACTGCTTCTTAATAAGATGGCAAACACAAATATCCGATACATTTTGATGTTCAATTAAAAGTATAGTTCTTTTCAATAAACATAAACAAACTTTTTGGTAACGTTTAAAAACTATTTCCCGCCGCAAACAGTGAAAAAGCGTGCGACCTCTTTCGACTCTCCAAAAAGTTTACATTGTGAAATAGTCTATACTCCTTGTTTATTTTTATTCCTTCTATTTTTCTTTACTGTTTTTTTTTTATATTAGAGATATGTGTTGTCCAGTCGGTCGCAATAACAATGTAATAGTGAGATGTGACTGTGGCAGTTATCCTCGTTATTCTAGTTATAAGATGACCTTATGATACTTTGACGTGACGCAGGAGTGGATACCTTCAACTAATAAATACAAATATAAACAGTCGAATATCATAAATACAAGGATTTCGGAAACTTGTTTCTTTTAGTTACGCAATTACTAGAACCGCGGGGAATGGTCGTTTGATTGATTTTGTTTTTTAATAGCAGGGTCATTAGCAATGACAGAGATTTACAAAACCATAATGCTGTAAACTGTGGTCATAGAACCAAAATACTTTTTTTTTTCAATGGCATCAGAATCAATTCGCAAAGAATAATCTATTTTTGAAACCATGTAAATATATAAACGTTTTTGAAATAATAGAAAAAAGATGCATATTATATATAAATATAGATAGAATTCAATAAATTAAATAAAATAGAATTAAATACCTAAGTGTTCCTTTTTCGGATAACGTAAATAAAAATAGTAAACTTTTAAAATCAGATTTTAACCCAGTATAATATTATGTGTTAATCACATATATTTTTAAATTGATATACGAGCAAAATTATAACATATATACCCGCGTATGATGTAATCCTGTACTGTGGTTTGGGAGCCTATTCGATGCAAACAAACAAGAAATCAAATTTCTATTCTACCCCATTAGTATAAATTTATGTGACAATTTTAATTTTCCCACATAACCTTGTCGTTGTTGTTGTGAGGTGGCGGGGTATGTACGAAGCATTTTCCTAGATTAAAAATGTTTCAATTTTCAATATTAATTAACTTTCATTCGTTTTTTCTTTTTAATAGTGATAAGTAATCAGAACTTATTTGAACTTTGTAATGTACAGTCACCAGTCAATTATGATGGCTCACGACTCGTATTTGTGGCGTTTTATGTTTTTTTATAATTAATAAATAATTTATTTTTCTATCGACGTCCACTATTAATTTATAACGTTCATTCATTATATAAATAATATATTCAGTAACATTAATAATGATTATATATTGAATATGTTTAAAGTCAACAAACAATTTTTTTTGTGTATACTTATATAAAAGGTTTAACGTTACTTATATAAAAATAACGACATATTTGATTATCAAAACTGTCTAGTTACCTTAATTTATTTTAAATTTGCACGGAATAACAGAAATTTTATCATTGTGTGCTAACTTGAAATGCTGCTGTGTGTACATTATATGTATGTACCGACTACGCCTTCCTACATTACTATTATGTAATAAAAACAACCCCAAACTCGTTGACGAATGCAGCGCTATGATAACGGAGACGTTTTATCAGATAAATGCTATTACTAACTATAGGTTTTGTTCCGGTATTATAATAGCGAAAAGAAAGAAGAGGTAAGGAAGTCTCAGTCATATGCGGGCTTGGGAATAAGCGGGGAAAGCTCCAAGCTCCTGTATAATATTCCCTACTAATGCTCTGACGATTGAACGGTACGTATACATATATTATTACATACTAGCTTTCGCCAGCGACTTCGCCGGCGTGGTCCCTAGGGAAATGTTTAGAGGGATAAAAAGTATCCTATTAGGTAAGTCAGCTAATACCCTATCTGTATACCAAATTTCATCAAAATCTTTCACTTTCACATTTATAATATTATAAGGATTACGAAGAGGTACAGTTTCTAAATTTGTTTATTTGCAATACCGATTCGATCATGAAAATTCTTTAACCTACGATAAGCTACATCATACGCGGGTGCCTATAATTTACGCAAATTCGCGGAAAAACTATTAAATAGTGTATTGTTTAGTTTCGATCACTTTCACTTTTATACACTTTTTTTTTATATATACCTACTTTATAGGTTAACGCTTGACTACGATCCCACCTGATGATAAGTGGTGATGAAGCCTTGGGTGGTATAGCGCATTAACCTAGTAACAGCTTATCACTCTTGATTTGAAGACATTCACATTATAATCGGACGGAAATACAGACGCTGGCAATTTATTCCAGTCCTTGGCGGTACGTATTATGAATGCCGATTCGAATTGCGCCGTTCTTACCGGAGGTATGTTGGCGACGAAAGGATGGATACCGGCCGTGCGTCGAGACGTTCGATGGCAGAACGGGGAGAGGGGAATTAGGTATACAAACTTGCAACGTAATCGATTTAGATTGTATATCAAATTATCTTGACATGTATCGGTGTTTCGTCATAGTCATTTGCTCCACATATATGTATAGCCAGAGGTCACATAGCTGGTTTATCGTCATGAAGGACCGCGTTCTTATGATACGTTTGTTTTAGGATTATTTATATCAAAAGTAAAATACAAAAATAAAGGCGTAAAGTGAAAAGGCTTGTTTTATTCATTCATTGGCCTACTCAAACTATTACCATTATTGTGGAAGTGCTGTATCAATATCTTAGTTACAAAATTATTCAAATATTAAATTTTCATTCAAAAGGAAGACTACAGGAAAACAAAGGAGATATCTCTGGTTTTTCATGTAATACTATTAATGAATAATCACCTTATCTCGCTGCACAAACCCAGTTCGCAATTAACCGTTCTTCTCTTCAATAATGAAGTCATTATAATGTCAAAATCCATCTTAACGACGATCAAATTATTATACCACATATTCTACGACTCTACTTCTACTACTCTATCAAAAGAAAAATAATTAGTTTAAATTTAAAGAACGTAGAGATATAGTGAGCCTATCGGTTGAGGAAATAATAGAGATTGCCTGCATGGGGCTGGACTAGTTGATTGTACTGAGCGTATATAGAGCTCCTACAAGTTTAGTTTCTCATTATGTTCTTTTTGAAATAGTTATACATAAAGCTTTAAAAAAGGTGTATAGCAAAGGCAAACTATTAGTAATATGTATAATTGGTGGTGATTTTAACGTTGATTTATTAGGAAACTCCAATTCATGTACAAGATTTGTAAATCTATTTATGTCCTATAATATTGCATACATGTTTTAGGAGCCCACTAGAGTAATTGATATTCGATATTTTTGAAAGACTAAATATTATTGTTTTGTTTTTTCTATTTTTAAATATAATTAACTTACTAATTCAAACGCTCTGATACCATGATAAGAACAAATGAGAATATCTATTGAATTTGAATAAAATATTTACAAAACAAAACATAATAAAAACTCTTCTTAAAAAAACAACAAGTCACCAAGCAACCAAAACATATATAAAAACTAGACCTAGGAACAAGTATCTTCATATACTTATAATAACGGCAATTATACTTCGCGCCTCGTTCTCGAGATTAGTATTTATTTGATTAGATTATATTACTAGTAGTATCGCATATGTGTCACTACTCCGGCACTATAGTTGAGATTTCTTTGCATTTGCTTTTTTTTTTTTTTTTTTATTATTACGAGGGTAGTTCTCATCTTCTTAGTCGATACCGTTCCCTGCCATCTTCATTCGCTTTATAGTGCCCGACTGCTCCGGTCGTATTCCCAATAACGTGTATAACAGATCGTTAAAATGCCGAAACGTACGAAAGTTAGAACATGTGAAGAAGAGTTAAAACATCCTCAAAAGAAAATGCGTAAATTAGAACAAAAAATATGTGATAAGGAAAGTTCAGTTAGTGACATGTGCCCGAATTTATTGGTACGGAATGCAATCAGAAAAGTCATTGGGGCTTATTCAACGCATTCAATAAATCAGTTAGCGTTCAATCCATTGGGGATCTACGTGATCGTACCTATCAGACTATAACGTATTTACGTTAAAACAAAAAGTATGCACCTGAACTGCCGTTGGGGTTGATTCGTCGCATACTTTTATGGATGACTATGATCGTCATAGTCATAATATGAATGAAAATCTCAAACGAATTTCTTATCTTTTTGCCACCCCACCTATGGTGCCGAGTGATTGGTTATTAGAACAACCTCATTATGACGATGATCCACAATCCATGATTGGTATCAGTGACATTCAAAACTTATACTATACACTGAGGATGACTGTGTCGACGCGACGACCTTTAACGAACCACCTGTCGAGTCAAAGTTACGGCCCCAAGAAGGGGTCCATAACGAAAATGATCTGGACACCGATGTCCTTGAAATTCTCGGCGAAGATCCTTTGCACTTAGAGAAGCTCGGTATAACCACATGACTCGCTTGTCGACTAACTCATATTACCATAGAGGGGCTTAATAAGGATATCCGTAAGGAGCTGATAGCGAAGTACCCAATTGCTGCTAATTGCTCTCTTATTAGTGCTCCAAAACTTAACCCTGAAATCAAGGCTGCCATACTTGAAAATACTCTTAAGAGGGACAAAGGCATAGAGGGTAAACAAACGCCAGTGGCCAGTGCTATTGCTTGTCTTGGAGAAATAATTATTACTCATCTTAACTCTAAGGAAAAGGATAAAGAATAACTGCTTTAGCTAATGGACCGCAGTCGTTTACTGTGCGATATTCAACATAGCGATTCAGTTATGTTGGCAACTTAATGAAATCAACATTAATCGACCGGAAGTTGACGCCGGTGACGCCATCTTGCGGCGCACAATGACGTTCACGTGCAAGATGGCGACTATATAAGCAAGCAACCGACCTAAGCATGGCAGTCTTAGTTCCGCTCGCGCTGTGACAACTAGTGTAAATTATAAAATAAAGTGTTGTGATTATTGATAGCTATGTGTGATGTATGCAAATTAGTGAATAAATAGTTTGATGATTGAAAGTGAGGTTTTAGTTAACATCAGAAGTGGGATATTAGGCGCCAATGGGCTCTCGCAGGAAGCGCTCTAAACGTCGCGAAAGACGCTCGAGTTCGACGTCGAGTAGCTCGAGTAGCGCTCGAACACCGTCGCCCTCACCGAGACAAAGGAAAAAGGTAGCACACAAAACTGACACCGCGACTGTAAGTACAAACAACAGCTTAATATTGTGCAAT